GAGAGAGAGAGAGGAGAGAGAGAGAGAGAGAGAAAGAAAGAGAGTGGGGGAAGAGGAGTGGTAGACCAAGGGCAGATAGAGAGGGAGGGAGAGAGACAGAGAGAGAGACCCTTTTGACATCTAAAATGAAGATAACATTGCATATATCCTTTTTTTTAACCTGTGTGTGTGTGTGTGTGTGTGTGTGTATACACATACATACATACATACATATACATACACACACACACACACACACAAATACCCCCCACACACAAACACACACACCTATAATAAAGGTAAAAAAGGATATATGCAGTGTTATCTTCATTTTAGATATCAAAAGGGTTTTGCGGCTCCCAGTGTTTTGTTTTTGGTGGGAAACAGGTCCAAGTGGCTCTTTAAGTGTTTTGGGTTGCCTACCCCTGGTGTAGGCCAAGCACGGTGGAGGATCCTTTCCCCTCGTGCTGGTGGATTCCAAGGAGCAGGATCAGAGCCCCCAAAAGGTTTTGCTTCCTCAACGGAGATGCTGCATGACTCAGGACGCAAACCTTCCAAGTGAACTAAGAAGGCGACCAGCCCCCCCCCATGACACATTGCCCCTCATTGCTCCTCCCACTTCACAGGAATCCTGACCCACTCCCAAATTAAAAGGAAGCTGTGGCAGGCTGGGGAATCCCCTTCCCCAAGTGCACAAGTGGCCTTGAGCAAGAGGGTGAGGCGCCACGTGTGAAAGAGAAAGGGGAGAGGCAGGGGGGACTCAGGGAAAAGACGGCCCTGGGGTGAATTTTAATGTTGGAAATAGTATTAGAGTAAAAACAGTATATGCACTAAATAATATGAGAATATTTGTATGATCACCATGCTTAGATGGAATTCCGGTCGAGTCTTATAAAAAATATGAGTGTTACTACAATGAATAATGTTGGATTCCTAGTAAGTAGTAGAATATGAAAGAAGGAAAACGTAAATAAGAAACAATGGGGCAATAAGGACAAATATTTCAAAGAAGAAAGAGGAGGGAAATGTAAAGAGTAAAAGAGTACTGTTACAAATTGCTGTTAACAAAAAAGGATGTATTACGTGTGTATGTGTGTAATGTTTGTTGTGTTTTGTTTTGTTTTGTTGGTCTAAAATAAAAAATAATAATAATAAAAAGAAAAAAAAAAAGAAAAGACAGCCCTGGGTCAGGAAATCCACAGGCTTTCCAGAAAGGACTGAGACCCCCCCCCCGCCCACTGCTCTCTCTCACCAAGTTGAGGGTCCTAGGCAAAGAACTACGAAGAGGCCCAAAGCTGGCCCAGTTGATGGCTCACCACCTCCTGGGCCCCACAGCAGCCTCCAAGCAGGGAATAACAAATGGGAAGGGGCCCTGGAGGTCTTCTAGTCTAACCCCCGGCTCAAGCAGGGGACCCTGTACCATCCCAGACAAATGGCTGCCCTGACTCTTCGTAAAAACCTCCAGTGACGGAGCATCCAGCAAAGGGAGGTGCAGGACTGTCATTATTTTAGAGCAGTGTTTCTCAACCTTGACCATTTTAAGGCATGTGGACTTCAACTCCAGAATTCCACAGCCAGCAACGCTGGCTGTGGAATTCTGGGAGTTGAAGTCCACATGCCTTAAAATGGTCAAGGTTGAGAAACACTGTTTAGAGCCTCACTCCCCCCCCTTCCCCGTTTTGCTCTTAGCCTCTTTTTCTCCCAACCTGAAGATTATTTGCACACTTCTGGAGACTTTCTGGAGAACTTTCTGAACACGTTCTTTGGAAGTGGTTTGCCATTTCCGTCTCCTGAGAAGGCCCAGCCTGAGGTCACCCAGTGGGCTTGGTGCCCAAGGCAGAAGTGGAACTCACTGCCTCCCAGTTCCTAATCCAGGACTCTTAATCCCAACACCCAGCTGGTTCTCTGCAGCTCGCATACTAAAGAAAGTTCTGTCAAACTCCGATAAGCCCCATTTTAGAACATAGAATAACAGGGTTAGAAGGGCCCTTGGAATAGGAATAGGATCAAGATCACCTGAAGTCTTAATATGGCTTTATAATGCCTTGGTAAGACCACACTTCGAATACTGTATTCAGTTTTGGTCACCACAATATAAAAAAAGATGCAGAGACTCTGGAAAGAGTACAGAGAAGAGCAACAAAGAGGATTAGGGGACTGGAGGCTAAAGCATATAAGGAAGGGCTGCTGGAATTGGGGATGTTTGGTTTAATGAAGAGAAGGTCGAGGGGGGACATGATAGCAGTGTTCCAGTATCTCAGGGGCTGCCCCAAAGAAGAGGGAGTCAAGCTATTCTCCAAAGCGCCTGAAGGCAGAACAAGAAGCAACGGGTGGAAACCAATCAAGGAGAGAAGCAACCTGAAATTAAGGAGAAATTTCCTCACAGTGAGAACAATTAATCAGTGGAACAACCTGCCTCCAGATGTTGTGGGCGGGTTTTTAAGAAAAGCTTGGACAGTCACTTGCTTGGAATGGTGTAGGGCTCTGCTCTAGGCCAGCGGCATTTAAGTACCCACCCATCCCCTGCCCAGTATGCCGGCTCAGGCATGGAAATCATTGCAAGCTGGGCCTGTGTTTCAGGGGGCTTTCCAGTGGGTCCCAAGACCCCTCCTGTGATTGGTCCACCCCCCAAGCCAGGACAGGCCAGGAGACCAATGAGTGAACAAAGCTGAGCTGAGTCTTAAAGAAGACTCATAAAGAAGAGGGAATGAAGCTATTCTCCAAAGCCCCTGAAGGCAGGACAAGAAGCAATGGGTGGAAACTAATCAAGGAGAGAAGCAACCTGGAACTAAGAAGAAACTTCCTGACAGTGAGAACAATTAACCAGTGGAACAGCCTGCCTCCAGAAGCGGTGAATGCTCCAACACTGGAAGTTTTAAAGAAGAGACTGGACAGCCAATTGTCCAAAATGGTGTAGGGTTTCCTGCCTGAGCAGGGGGTTGGACTAGATGATCTCCAAGGTCCCTTCCAACTTTACTACTATTACTATTACTATTAATCTGCTAATAATTATTTTCTTAGAAGGGAATCACCGGCCAAACCTGGGCTCCTGGCCAGGCCCTCCTTACATTTCCTTGTGGCCTATTTTATCATCTTGACTCATCACAGAGCAGGAAGGGACTCTCCAAAAGGAGGCAAACGACCAGCTGTCTGCAAGGAGTATAAATCTTTCCCTTTCCCACCATCCAGTCAGAGCTGAAGAAACTTCTTGGACGAGGACGAGAAGCAAAACGTCTTCAAAGAAAAGGAAAAGGAAAGAAAGTCCAGTTGCCTCATGGGAAAAAAGCACCTTTGGGTCACGTATGACTGATAACTGAGAATCTCCATAGACGAGGGATCTCAGAGATCATCTAATCCACCCGACTGAGTGCAGGATCCAGTGAAGCCCTTTGCACCAATGGCCATCCAGCCTCTCTTGGAAGACCCCTGAGAGGGGGAACCAAGCCCCTTCGTGGGGGGGAGACAGCCCAGGAGTTTGAGCAGGGGGGAGGGGGGTCCGTCCTTCTGCAGCCTGTAACCTTCTGGAATAGTCCTGCTGTCACGGATGGAGAGCCAAGGGCACCCCACTTCTTGCAGTTCCTCCCCCCCCCCGTGCAGGTTCCTTGGGTGCTCCCCCTGAATCTGGGGGTGGGGTGGGGGCTGTTGTTCAGCCGTCAGAACAAATAAAGCCAGTGGGAAGCATTTATTCAATTTGGGACACTAGTCCTCAAGATTCCATCTTTCCCTGCTTCCTTTCCAACACCAAGAACTCCAGGCCTGAGCTACAAATATTCTCTTCCACGATGCAAAAATTAAAATAATAATAAAAAAGCTGTCAAATCTTCTCCAAATGCTCCCCCCTCCTTTTTTCTTTGCCTCTCCTTTCTGCCCCCCCCTCCCCCACTGCACTCTCTCCCCATTTCCCTCTGCTGTCTCGCCCCCCCCCCCCCGTACCTGAACAGGAGCAGCCCCTGAACAAGGCCCCTCTCAAACACCGCTGTGGTTCCCCCCTGGACCTCCCCCCACTTAAAAAAATTCACCTAGGCGGCCCCAAAGGAGAAACCGCAGATGCGCTTTTAACAACGGAATCCTTAGCAGCATCCCTGCTTTACAGGTAAGTCCTCGAATTACGACCAAAATCGGGCTCCAAATTTATGTTGCTAAGTGAGTCATTTGTTAAGTGAATTTTCTCCCCATTTTATGACCTTTCTTGCCCCAACTGTTAAGTGAATCGCTGCACTTAAGTTGCTCACATGGCTTCCCCGTGGAGTTGGCTTATCAGAAGGTCACAAAAGTGACCCCTTTGGGATGCTGCGACCGTCATAAACGTGGGCCAAGTGGCCGAGCGTCTGAATTTTGATCCCAAAAATGATTCAAAGGTCGTAAGTGTGAAAAATGGTCGTAAGCCACTTTTTTCAGTGCCCTAGTAACTTTGAACGGTCACTAAACGAACCGTTGTAAGTCGGGGACAGCCTGTACTACAAAAATCACATTTTCCTTTGTTGGAACACCGCCTCACTTGCTCAAGCAGCCGCTTCAGATTCCTGCACCCCCCCCGCCCCGAAACCTCCCAGGGTCCCTGCCCGTCCGTTGTCCGGGCTCCCCCTTCCTTGCCAAGCGGCCCCCGAAGACCCCCGTCCGACGTCTGGCCGCTTAACCTCCGCGCCGCGCCCCTCCTCCTTCGGCGACCCCCCCCCATTTCCCTTCGAGCCAGTCCTCGCGAGGCAGCTCCGGGGCTCCGCTTCGCGGGAGGCTCCTCCACCCGGGCGGCCGTCACTGAGCGGGACTCCCCGCGAAGCTCACCTGGCGGGGGGGCTGCGGTCCATCCGCGGGGCGGGGGCGGGACCCGAGTGGCCCCCGGGGGCAGCTGGAGCCGGGCGCGGAGCCCGACGCTGCCCTCGGGCGGGCTGAGCCTGGTGGGGCGGGCCCCTCCCCGCCAGCAGCGCCCGCCTCCCGGCCCCCGCCCGGCCGGCGCCTCCCGCCCTCCCCCCCTCCCTCCGGCCGGCAGCCCGGCTGTTCTTAAGGCGCCGCCGCGCACGGGACGTCCTCAGCCTCCCGTCCGGCGCCCGGCTCGCAGCTCCCGGCTTCTGCCCTCGGGGGGCTCAGAGGGCTCTTGCCTGCTCGCCCGGCCGGCCTCCCCCCCCTCGCCCCTCCGTCGGTTCAGGTGATCAAAAGACGCCCGCCTTTCCTTGAAGGGATCCGGTCAAAAGAGGGCAGGTGCTCCGGGCAGGTCAGCGGGGCAGCCGTGGGAAGCCCCCCCCCGGTTCCTGCCACTCTTTTATCCCCGCCCGGATCAGCCGCTGTCTGTCTGTCTGTCTGTCTGTCTGTCTGTCTATCTATCTATCTATCTATCTATCTATCTATCTATCTATCTATCTATCTATCTATCTATCATCTCTTTCTGTTAACTCTCTCTCTCTCTCTCTCTCTCTCTCTCTCTCTCTCTCTCTCATCTAAATGTCCAGTTCGTTCTGCTGATTGGTCCATCGCTCTTCCTTGTCCTTCCCCAATTCTGGACTTTCTCCCCTCTGCGAGGGGTACCGAGCTGCCCCCTCCTTCCCCCCTGCCCGGAGGTCAGCTGGATTCTTTGCTCCTTTGAGAAGTTTAGCCGTTCGGAAGGGGAAACTTCCGCGGCGCTTCTGTCCATCTTCTGCCCGGGAGCTTCTCTCCCTCTGCCTGACGGAGGAGCAGGAGGAGCAGGAGGAGGAGGAGGAGGGGATCTTCCGAACACCAACATCCCCCCCAAGAGCCGGCCTGAATTCTGACACACACACACACCCCAACCCTCCTCCTCCCGCTTTTTCCCTCCAGGCGAGGCTGCCCTCTGCTCCAGCCGGTCCCGTCCCGCTGTCCCGCCGCTGCCCACCGCCCGCCGCCCGCCGTCCCTCGGGGAGAGGCAGAGGATGGGCGCCGCAGGCGAGCTGGCCGCTTTCCAGCAGGCGCCGCGGGGCTTCGGCCTCTGGGACTACGGCGTCTTCAGCCTGATGCTGCTGGTCTCCACGGGCATCGGCCTCTTCCAGGCGCTGTGCCGGGGCGGCCAGAAGACCCCCGAGGACTTCTTCACGGGCAGCCGGAAAATGTCGGCGCTGCCGGTGGGCCTGTCGCTCTCGGCCAGCTTCATGTCGGCCATCCAGGTGCTGGGCGTCCCGGCCGAGGCCTACCGCTACGGCATGAAGTTCCTCTGGATGTGCCTGGGCCAGCTGCTCAACTCGCTGCTCACCGCCGGCCTCTTCCTGCCCGTCTTCTACCGCCTGGGGGTCACCAGCACCTACGAGGTAGGGGGGGGGCGGGGGGCTCGCCTGGGGGTCCCGCCCCACCTCTGTGGGGACCCCTGGCCCTGGGGAACAGCGGTGTGGGCGTGGTTTCCTTCAAAGAGCAAGGGGGGGGCTTGTGTTTCAAATCTGAGTCCCCTCTCTGAATATTTATTTATTAAATTTATTTGCCCCCCTCTCACTGTCACATTCTGGGGCGCTGACGATATTGTAAAAAAGATGAAAACAGCAAGACATTAAAATTAACAGATAAATGGCGGAGGTAGCGTGGGGCAGCGTGCAGTAGCGTGGAGGTGGGGGGGGGTCTTCTAATTCAGTATCCATATCTCTGGTTAGGACCCCAGGCCAATTTCTCTTACACTTGGGGAGGGAGATTGCTCTGAAGTCAGCTGGATGCTGCCCCCTCCTGTAAATTGAACCCCTACGTCCTCCCCCTTCCCTTTGGACTTCGGCCTCCCTTTCTTTGGGGTGACCCCTGCCTCCTGGGTCCTGGAAACAGCCCCCCCTCTCTTCTGGAGGCTCGGCTCCTTCTCGCTCTGCTTCCTTCCCTCTTCTCCACCCCCCCCACTTCCCCCCCCCACAGACCCGGGTAGGCTGCCTCCGGGCAGTGTCCCCTTAAGCCCTTTTAGGGCCCCTCCCTGGGCCCCCAGGCTGCCAAAGCCACTTCCAGCAGGGCCTGAACGGAGGGAGGCTTCCAGCATCACTGATTTATTCAGCTGGTGCTTAATCCTCTCATCTTTCGAGAGATCGCAGCAAAGAAGCCAAGGTGCCAATTAACACACACACACACACATACACTCTCTCTCTCTCTCTCTCTCTCTCTCTCTCTCTCTCTCTCTCTCTCTCTCTCTCTCTCTCTCTCTCTCTCTCTCTCTCTCTCGCCAAAGCTTCCAAGCAGGTAAATTCTCTGAGTCAACAGGGCCGCTCTGACTGCCCTCCGAAGAGGAGCCTTCAAGGCCAGCTCACCTCTGACCCCAGGAAAAGGGGCTGGGCTCACTGGGGGTGGGCTTCTCCACACTGGAAGAGAACCACCATCAGAACGTGGTTTGATTCCAGGGCCAGTCTGTCAGCTGAGGAGGGCATTCCCAGGAACTGGGCCAGCCCGCTGGGCTCTGCAGAGAGCAGCTGCTGAGGATACCAGATTTCCCGGAGAAGGGGAGGGTGGTGGGCTAGGAGGAGCTGCTTCTTGGGGGGGGGGGCACGAACGCCCTGGAATGGCCTTCCTGCCCTACCAGGCGGGCCCCTCCCTCCCTGCTGGAGTTCAGGAAAATGCTGAAGCGAGTTATTTCTCCTGGCTTCCCTGGGGCATCTCCCCCCCCCTCTTATTTTGTTGTTCCTGCTTGTTGGGTTTGCTGTTTTTCTCAGGGTGTGTGAGTGTGTGATGTTATTGTTCATCAACCATCACACTGTGGATGTTTTCACTTTTTTGTATTGTTTGTCAGCCAGTTTAATGAATAAATTAATAACAAGGAACAAAATGCATCCAGCCAACCCTTTTATTCCAGACATTCAGGAAAGCCTTGGCAAGTCAGAGACCCCCCAGCAGAAAAGTTCTGGAACCAGGGAGGGGGCTTCGGAGGATGGGGGGGGTTGTGCCATCTTCAGCCACAGGGCTCTGAGAGCGGCTGTCTGGAGTAGCTCAATTGGGCTCAGAACTCTGCCTGTTAGCAGGATAGAACCCCCAAACCCCCAGAGATGCAGTGTGGGGCTTCCCCTACCAGGAGCTGTGCCAGCTGTGCCGAGTTTTCGGCAAAGGAACTGATGCAGCCTTTGTGAGAGGGCCACCAGGTCACCCCTTGGACCCCGTCTCTCCTGCAGGTCCCGATTCCTCCGTGGGGACCTCCAGGGGAGGGGCCAAGGGGCAGGAGAAAGGGGAGGGGGGAGAGGCAGGAAAAAGCTGGCCTTGAGCTGATCTCTGCAGGAAAGGTGCCACTTTGAGGTTGACCACTATGACGATTGTCCCGTTGGGCGAGTTCTCTTTCCAAGCGCCCCCCCGGGAGATTCTCCGGGCAAAACCACTTTGCTTCTGCAGAAAGAGCATCACAGAGGGAATTGCATCGTTCCCAAGGGGGCAATTATGGGTGCAGTCAAAGCCCCACATCTCTAAATGCAGCTTCTGTTCAGAGGGGCGTATTTCACATCCAGGTGTGCGCAGGTGTCACTCACAACCGAGAAGGGGAGAAGTCGGAGTAAGGATTAGGAGAGGAAGGTGGGGAGCAGAGCGAGGGGAGGAAAGTGGAGCCGGCTTTATTTATCTTTATTTTCTTTCCTTCTTTCTATCCCGCCTTTGTTACCTTGACAAAATAACTCAAGGCAGTTCAATATATCCAACCCGCCTTTTCCTCACAATAAGAACCCTGTGAGGTGGGCAGAGCTGAGAGGAGGACTGGCCCAAGGTCACCCAGCTGGCTTTCACCCTGAAGGCAGGACTAGAACTCACCGCCTCCTTGTGATTGGTCCAAGGTCACCCAGTCGGCTTTTGTGCCCAAGATATGACACTAGAATTCACGTCTCCTGGTGTTTGGCCAACTTACCCGCCTGGCTGTCATGCCTAAAGCAGAACTTGAACTCATAGCCTCTTGCTTTGTAGCCAGGTGCCTTAACCAGTACACCAAACTGGCTGGACTGTGACCCGTTTTCAGCTGGATGACTTTGGGGTTCTCCGCCCCAGACACGGGCATCCCTGGCTAGCAGGCTGAACTCCGGGGAAACTGGGGGGCCAGGAGCCCCATCCAACTTGCACAACCTCCAGGCTGGCTAACTGGGGGGGGGGCTTCCCTTTGCTGGTGGTGCCAGACAAATACGGAGGTGTGGAGGGTCACGTCTGGCCTTTTGGGGCTCCCCTTGGGGTGGGCTGGCCCAGGGTGGCGTGAACGGAGGAGGGGCTGGAATAGATCGAAGTATTTATTAACTTTTATTGATCTGTAAAACTGATCACTTGCCCATCTTACCACAAGATTTCTCTGGGAGTAATGCTTACAATGCTCCCTTCACCCTCCCAAGTTGCACACTTTGGCTTCGTGCTGACAAAGCAAGACACGCAAATTGTTTTCGGAAACTTGAAAGATCAACACGAGGGTAAATATTGAGCTGGGGAGCAGGAAATGCATGATGGGATCCAGGGGTAAGCTGGGCTATTGGCCTGGCTGCGTAAACAGGTTGCTCGTAGAGTCTGTGCTGGCAAGGCTGGCCTGTTGGTGCCCCGCCCTTCTTAAATCCTGGGGGGTCAGAGTTCATCATTGGGGAGTTCAGAGGAGCCTGGCCTGGGGAGGGGGCTACTGCCCAGCCCCCAAGGACTGGCTGCCTTTCACCCACTGGGGATCCCCCGTCTTGGGCTGAGCCGCTGACAGATAACCCTGGAAGAGCAGAGATGTTTTCCCAGCTTATCTCCCCTCCGAGAGCATTGAAGGCTGCCGGGAGCCTGGAGCCTTTGTGGGTGTGCGATTGTGGGTCTGGAGCAAGGCACACAAAGCACACCAGGAGGTTGGGTGGCTGGCAGCTTTCGCCTTCCCCTGGCAGCCCTGGGCATCTCCCCCCTGCTCAGGCCTTTGTGCCCCCTGGCATCGCCCCTTCGGGCGGCTGGGCTGGAAGCAAGCCAGAGAAGGGGGGGGCTCCTTCTGGCCCTGCTGCCACACACACCACACTTGCACACTCACAACAGCAGAGAGGCCCTGGAAATGAGCTCTTTGAAGGAACCGGCTCCAGACTTCCTTGCAGGAGGGCAATTCTCCCCCCCCCCCGGCTGCAGCCTGGCCCTGGGCACCCCAAGGGGTCTTCTGCCAGGCTGGCACTTTCTCCCCTCCCTCACCCACATTTCGGCTTCTGTGCAAGTAAGGGAGGGTGGGAGAGCTGACCAAGAAGCCTGGAGGTATTTTGCCCAGGTTGGGGGTTTTTTGGGGGGGCGGGAGGAAGAGGCCACCTGTCTGACCCTCCCTGACTCTCCTCCGTTTTAGCCAAGTGGCCCCTCCTGTGCCTCTTTTGGGGTTCACCCAAAAGCAACATCAGCAGTGGGGGAGACCATTCATAATAAGGCACCTCAAAGGATAGCTAGAGGTTGGGGGAATCTTTGAAAGCCCCCCCTGCAATTTCTGGAGCCCCAGCAGGAGACTCTGCAGAGGAGACTTTCCGTAACTTCCAGGGCACCGTTCTCCCCCTCCCCCCCTCCAAGCAATCAGCCCTTTTCCTCCCATCCCCCTTCAGGTTTCAGCCTTGGCCAGCCAAGGTTCTCCCCCCCCATAACCTTTCACCAGCTAGTTTGCTGCCTCCTCTCAGCCCCATCAGGGGGGGGGCTGTTTAAGTGAAGCACTAGAACAGGGGGGGGGCAACCTTGGCTCTTTTATGACTGGTGGACTTGCTGGCTCAGGAATTCTGGGAGTTGAAGTCCACAAGTCATAAAAGAGCCAAGGTTGCCCACCCCTGCACTAGAACAAGGTCTGCAACTGGCACCTTCAGCCACCCCACCCCCTGGTCATCTGGCTCCATTGTGGCTCTGCTGCTCCCCCCAGCACTTGGGCAGCCCCCCCCAGAGGTTGGGCGATGCACTCCCAATTCCAGCCCCAGAGATTTCTGACTGCAGAGACAGGCGGGAGGCAGCCTGTGGGCCCAGCAGCCCAGGGTCCTGGGGGTGGGCGGTGGGCAAAGGGCTCAGGTGTGGTGGGGAGGAGATCTGAAAAAGACCTCCAAGAGCCCCCCAAGACAGCAACCTAGAAAGGGTTCCATCTTGCACCCCCCTGGGCTGCAAAGCTTCTGTCCCTCTGGCTCTGGCTGGCCTCTCACTCCCATGGTGCACAACAGATGGATTGAGGATGATGGGAGCAGAGACCCAGCTCAGGGTGTGTGTGTGTGGGGGGGGGTTGCCATTCGGCTGAACAGGTTTCCTCCCTTCTGCCTGCATTTGGCCTGTCCATTCAGAAGTGCGGCAGACACCTAAGCGAAGGGAGGAAGGGTCTTGACTGCCGTATCCCCATGGGGGGCCCCTGTGCGAGGAAGCCCTGCCAGGGGGCTGGGAAGGGGTGCCCTCCGCCTGCTTTGGGGCTTGGCGTGGTCTGTCCCCTGCCCTTGCCTGGGGCCGCTTCCCCAAACGTGGCTGGAGGCCGGGAAGAGGCTTCCTCAAGGTGGCCAGCAGGGATGCAGAAGGCCTCCAGCCACCTCCCAGGGCTCTCCCCTGCCCCCCTCCCATTGAGGATGGGGCAAGGTGCCCAGAGGGTCCTCAGCTGGGCGCTGGACCTTGTCACGAAGGCCGTCTGCAGAACTTCTCTGCCCGCTGGAGCAGCACTGAGGGGTTTCCTGAAGCAGAGGGCCAGAAGTGGGGGGCTGCGGGGGGGGGAAGAGAGAGCAACCCTGGAGACAAATTGGCCTGCTACTCCTGCCCCCCCCCCAGCCCGAGGGTTTCTGCCCAATTGATTGTTGCCTCCCCGCAAGCCCACTGTCTTCTCTCTGGCCTGCAGCTGCCCTTCCCAGGCCTGGCAGAGAAGCCCCCAAGGCCGCCTGGGGAGGGGGGCATCTTTAAATGAGGAAAGGGGGGGCTCCAAATGCAAATGCAGGCAGGTCCAGGTTTCCTTCTCTGCAGCCCCTCCTGGGCTTTAGGCAGAGCCCCCCCCATCTGCAGCTCAGGGTGCCCTCCTGGGTGGGGCAGAACCCCAGCCCCCCCCCCCCCGTCAGCTGAAGCAATCTGTCTCCACTGACTGAGGGTGACTGGGGCGTGGGGGCTGCCTTCTGCCCTGGGTGGAGGGAGGGGGGCTGGTCTGCAACCACCTTTGAGCCTCTGGGATCAAGTGGGATCAGCTGGGCCAGAGGTGATCAGCGGGGTCCGATTGCCAGAGGCTTATCAGGGAACAAACGTCCAGGGGCAGAGAGAGTCTCTGGGGAAGGGTGGGAAGGGGGCTGCGGGGGGGGGGTGAGGTGCGCGCAGCCTCCTGGCTGCCTTGCAGGCGCGCCCCTTGGCAGATCTCCCCTCCCCTCCCTTCCCTGCAGGGATCCAGCTTGCCCGGCAAACGGGCTCTACTTCCGATGCCTCTGCATGGGGGGGCCGGCACTTCCCGAGGGCGGAGGGAACCGCGGCGAGGGGGCTTCTGGAAACGCAAGTCCGCCGGGAAGCCCGCGAGGTCCGCGCGCGGAGTCCGCGCCTGGGAGGAGAGGCGGCGGCGGGACGGGGCGGCCGCTGGGAGCGAGGCCGCCGCCGAGGCCAGACGAGCGCTCAGCCGGCCGCCGGGGGGCTCGGGCGGCCCCGGCCCAGCGGCAGCCCGCGCGGCGTGGGCGGGGTGTCGGGGGTCCAGCCGGCCCAGCCCCGCATCGCCGGAGCCCCGCGCGCCCCGCCAGCGCTGCGCCCCGGACTCCAGCGCTGCGCCCCGGGGGAGGGAAGGGGCGAATCCTGTTCTGCCCTGCGCGGCTCGGCTGGGCGGGGAGGGGGGCGTCCCGCAAATGCAGGCGTGTGTGTGTGGGGGGGACGTCTTGGCCTTCGCTTCGCCGCCCTTCCCGTCTCGGGCTCTCCGGCCTCCCGGAGCTGCTTCCCTCCGATCGTCGCTTTGTACCTCCTTCGTCCTCTTGCCCTCGGGAGCCTTCCCGCCCCTCCTTCTCCCTCCGCCCAACAACCGCCCTGACAGGTAGGCCTGGCTGAGAGGGAAGCTCAAACACCCCCCACCCCATTGCAGTGATCCGCTTAACGACTGGGATAGGGAAGCTGCTTTAGGACAGCTCCCTTCACGGCTTCCTTAACGGTGGAGATTTTGTGCTCCGTTGCCGTCCAATTTTCTGTTTTAAAAAACGAGGGTTGAAACAATTGCTTTGAAACACATTTGTCCCCCCCCCCAAAAGGGCTGCGGCTTTAACTCTATTTGCCCCCCCCCAATGTAACCATTCATTCCCGCCCCTCGATGAGAGGCCTTAGGGAGCCTTGGGTCTTCTGGACCAGGGCTGCCCCAAAGGTGCTTTTTCCAAGAGGCCCCTGGACTCTTTCCTGTTTTTCCTTGAAGACCTTTCGCCTCTCGTCCAAGAAGCTTCTTCAGCTCCGAGAAGAACTGAAGAAGCTTCTTGGATGAGAAGCGAAACGTCTTCAAGCGAAAAGCAAAAACGCCCAGTTGTCTTTTGAAAAAGCCCCTTTGGGTCTCGGTGGGATGGGTGCCCTGTCCCTGGCAAAGGGGGAGAGGGCAGCGATTCCAGGCCCCAATCTGCACGTGTGCGTGTGTGTATGCGTGTGTGTGTGTGTGTGTCCCTTTTTTCCATGGACATTTATTGGCCGGGGGGGGGGTAATTGTGGACCACCTGCCCTCTATGCCAGTGACTCCACTCCCGGATCCTGAAGCCCCTGGCCGCAAGTTAAGATCTGTCCCATGTTTGGGGCAGCCCAAATGCTTGATCCCAGTTTGGCCAGGATGCCCGGCACCCCCCTGCCCCCCCTCCCCATGGGACCCTCCCTGGAAGGTTTGGCCTTTCTGAAGGTCTCAGCTGCAGGTGTTCTTTCTCCGTCTCGCCCTGGCAGTACCTGGAGCTGCGGTTTTCCAGGAAAGTCCGGCTGTGTGGCACAGTCCAGTACATCATTGCCACGGTAAGTGCCCAGGATTGGGGCTGGCCTGCGGTGGGCGTTCTCCCCTCCCCTCCCTTCCCCAAATCCCTCCCCCCCTTGAGAGGATGGTCTCCCATGCTGCACAGCCTGAAAGATGCGAGGATCATTGCTGGCTGAGGCCGAAGAGAAGAAACTGCCCCTCACCCAGCACGGTCTCCACACTGACCGTGGGTGGCTCCCTTTGGGGTCCCCCCACCCCCACAAGAAAGAAAGATTCGGGGGCAGAAAGAGGAACTTGCTTAGAAAGAGTCCAGCAGGCCAAAAGCCTTGCCTAGCTCGCTGGGTTGAGGTGCTGCCTTCATGGACAAGGCAGTGGGAGGACAGGGGGGGGGAGCAAGGATCACCTCCCCCCTGCCCCTCCCTCTGCAGCTTTGCAGGTTTTAAAAGCCCTGCGCTGTGCATCCCTCCCTCCCTCCCTCCCTCAGGTGCTGTACACGGGAATCGTCATCTACGCCCCGGCCTTGATCCTCAACCAAGGTAGGTCCCACCTGCTCTCCTCTCCTGCAGCCTGAACTAGGCCGGGATTCACACAGCCCCCCCCCCTCCCCGTCCCCCCAGTCAGTCAGCCGAAGACCCAGGGGCTGTCCTGGCCCAGGGCCAGACTCCCCCCCCCCACGCTGATGGGGGTGACAATGTGTGCATGCTGGTCCAGGCCCTGGTGCTTCGGCTTCTCTCTCCATGGATTGTGGGCTGATTGAAGCGGTTGTGTGAAGGCAGTTCCCAGGGTCAGAGAGTGGATTGGGAGGGGAGCTCAACTTCACTAGATCTGACCCACTTTGGAGGAGCTGTGCCCACCCCGGCCCCTCCCTGGGAAGAGGCATCCTCTTTCCTCTGCCTCTCTGCTTCCAGGTGAAGCCAGCGGACTCGCTGGGGGGAAAAGGGAGAATCTCAATAAAGATTCTTTTTCTCTCTTTTTCAGTGACTGGTCTGGACATCTGGGCTTCGCTTCTCTCCACGGGCACCATCTGCACTTTCTACACCACCATTGTGAGTCGAAGGGGAGTCCGGGCCTTGCACCCCCCTCCCTCCAATCCCCCCCAGGAGGCTTGTGGGGAGGGGGTCTGGGCATCTGTGCTCCCTCCCTCACTGTTGCTGGGATCCTTTCGCTCTCCCCCAAAGCCCCAGGGGGTGCCCCAGAGGAGCCGGCTGACCCCCCAGGACCCCCTTCTTTTCCAGGGGGGCATGAAAGCGGTCATCTGGACGGACGTCTTCCAGGTCTTGGTGATGCTGTCCGGCTTTGTGGCCATCTTGATCCAGGGGACGCTGCTGGTCGGGGGGCCGGGGCAGGTCCTCTCCACCGCCCACAACCACTCCAGGGTCAACCTGGGAGAGTAGGTGGAGCTGCAGCGGGGGGGGGTAATTTGGGGCCCCCTCGGTCCCCCCACTCTCTAGTCCTCCGTCTGGGTTAGGGTTAGAGTGAGGGTACCCCGTCTGCCATAATGGCAGCTAAGCAGATGGGGGTGAGTTAGTCTGACATTGTGCTGAAAGGGGGAGAAAATGGACCCCCAAATGCTGAATGGGGCCATTTTCAGTGGAGTCATTTAGGTGAGAAATGGATGAAGGACTGACTGACTGAATGAATGAATGGAACGAACGAACGAATGAATGAATGAATGGACGAAGTAACTAACGAATGAATGCAAGACTGTTGCCTTGTTCCTGTCTGAATCTCCCAGCATTAAGGAGATTTGAGAGTGACATTTCAAGGTGGACCCCTTAGATCAGGGGTTCTCAACCTTGGCAACTTTAAGACTTGTGGACTTCAACTCCCAGAATTCCTTAGCCAGCTTTGCTGGCTGAGGAATTCTGGGAATTGAAGTCCACTAGTCTTAAAGTTGCCAAGGTTGAGAACCCCTGCCTTAGATCTTTTTTTTCCAATGGCGGAAAAAAAACCATCCCTGAAAGTCAGACAAATAAGTTTGAATTCCTTTTTAAGAAATCCCTGGCTGCAGCCACTTCCCCCAGGAGCCCCCATTTCCTTTGTGTTGGTCTGCATGTCTGTGCGTGCGTGTGCGTGTGCATCCAGAACTTCATGAGGTCTAGCCACATGTCGCTTGGTAAATGCCCCTGGAGACATGCCTTCCTTCTGGCTCTCTCTCTCTGTCCCCCTCCAGTTTCAGCATGGACCCCCGCAGCCGCTACACCTTTTGGACCTTCCTCTTCGGGGGCACGCTGGTCTGGCTCTCCATGTACGGGGTCAACCAGGCCCAGGTCCAGCGTTACGTGGCCTGCAAGACGGAGAAGGAGGCCAAACTGTGAGTTGCCCGGAGGAGTTCTGCTTCCGCCCACGTCTCGAGAATTTGTCGGATCAGAGGCTGGGGGGGGGGCTCTCCCGAAACCTCCCTGCACGTAGGGCATCTTTTGAGGGTCACCATCCCCCTGCCAGACCCGACGGCTCCGGAAGCAGCGAGGGTGGGGGCAAAGCCGAGCGTGGTCCCCCCCCCCCGCTTGCCGTCGCTTTGGGCTGTGGCAGGGCCCGGGTGGCTTGGCTGGGGGCCAGCCAGGTCTGCCCAGAGAGGAGTGAGCACAGCCCTCCTTATCGCCACCGGCCGCCCCCCCTTTTTTAATCTATTCTGCTGCGGGTGTCAGCAGAGGGTGTCAGCACCGGCCCCACCCAGTGCCCCCCGTTCTGCCTCCTCCACCTGGGTGTACAAACACAGGCCGGTAGCTGTGCCTTCCTTGCAGGAGGCCCTCCGCCACCCACCTCCCGGGGGTCACGGGGCTATCGGCCTCTACCCACAAAGGCATGTTTTCCTTCCAGCCAGGCTCTCTGGGCGTGGGTCACCAGGTGGGAGGGAGGGGGAGGGGCAGGGGAGCAGCCTCCCTTGAACCTTCAAGAGCCTCTCTCTTCCCAGCTGCCCCCCCCCCACCCAGTCTGGCTGGAGCCTTTGGCCATGTTCTGGGCCACTGCAGAATTTTATTTATTTTGTCCATTTATGCTGCCCATCTTGGGTCTGACGAGCCTTGTAATTTTAAGATTGTAGTCCTCATGGTTCTGAAGGTTCTTGTGGGTCCCTTCTGGGCAGGTGGGCAGGTGCTGCTGCTGGGAGGAGGGGAACGGCCCAGAACCTGCCATGTCTGGGCTGATGGGAGCAGGGGGCACATCCTAGGGCTGGGTCAGGGTGGGCAGGGGTGTGTGATGCCCCCCTCCTCTCCCTGGTACCCCGAGACTGAGTGAGGACAGGTGCCCAGAGGGCCCATGGCAGACTTTCCGGCCCCTTGACCCCCGGGGTCCCCCCAGGTGCTTGGTGTTGTGTGTGTGTGTAGGGGGGGGGGGAAAGCAGTGCTCTCTCCCTGCGGCCAGCTCTGTCCACTGACCGAGGGCCGTCTTCCTCCCGCCTGGGCCTAATTTTTCTTCTTGCCCCCCCTGTCTCCCCAGGGCCCTCCTCATCAACCAAGTGGGGCTCTTCGTCATTGTCTCCAGCGCAGTGGGCTGTGGCATTGTGATGTTTGCGCTCTACAAGGACTGCGACCCACTCTTGGCCGGATACATCTCGGCGCCTGACCAGGTACGCCCCTTTCGCCGGGGGGGGGCAGCGGAGCGGGGCAGGGAAGTCAGGGGGGACTTGGGCAGGCTGAGGAAAGGCAAGGAGAGTCACATGAACCCCCCCAAAGGGCAGAGCCTGGCAGCCAGGGGCCGGGGGGGGGGAACTGGGCAGAAGATTCGAGAGAGGATCCTGGGGGCTGAAGGGGGAAAGCCCCTGTTTCCCTCTGCCGGGGGGGGGGGCTTTGCTGCACCCCTAAACGAAACAGAGGCCAACCAAGTTAGAACGGATGTGAGACCACAAGTGACGCCAGGGCAGAAGGCCAGGTGGGGAGGGCGACACCTTCACCCCGGCTACCAACCGGCCATTCACAGACCCCATCAGGCTCCAGACCTCGCCCAGCCCCCTCCTCCTCCTGCTGCCCCTTTGCAGAGACCCCTCTCTGAGACGCCCTCCCTGCCTCAAAACTGCACCCCGAAGCCAGGAGGGATCCCGGGCAGGGCAGGATAGCCAAGGGTTCGGCTGGTCCCTCCTCCCTTTTCCGCCCTGTGACCAAGGGGGGGGTGTCCCTTCTTCAGCAGGTGCCTCCCTTTTCTGCCCTGCGACCGAGGGGGGTCTTTGGGGGTCTCGGACTCACAGCTGCTGTTTCTTCTCCCTCCCCAGTACATGCCCTACATGGTGCTGCACATCTTTGAGAGCTGCCCGGGGGTGCCCGGCCTCTTCCTGGCCTGCGCATACAGTGGCACTTTGAGGTTGGTCTCCGGCGTGGAGGGCAGGGGCTTTGCCAAGCCACAGGCTGCCCCTCCCCCTCCTGATGCCCTCTCGCCCTTCTCCCCCCCCCCGCAGCACGGCCTCCACCAGCATCAATGCCATGGCGGCCGTCACCGTGGAGGACCTGATCAAACCAAACATGCCCAGCCTGACGCCACGGAAACTCGCCCTGGTCTCCAAGGGGCTCTGTGAGTGGCAAGCAGGGACCCCCACTGAAAGGGGGAGCCCCAACCTTTCCTTTCTCTGGGGGAAAAACCAGGAGAGGGAGGGGTGCAAGCATTAAGGCCCAGGGGATTAAGAGACCCCCCCTCTATTCTGGAGTGAGGGCCAGGGGAGCTCATCTGGAAACACCCTAATTTGGAGATGGAGCGGAGAGCTGGAATAACAAGGCTGGAAGGGACCTTGAAGGTCATCTAGTCCAACCCCCTGCTCAGGCAGGAGACCATACACCATTTCAGTCTAATGGCTGTCCAGTCTCTCTGGAGGCAGGTTGTTCCACTGGTTAATTGTTCCCACTGTCAGGAAGTTTCTCCTTAGTTCCAGGTTGCTTCTCTCCTTGATGAGTTTCCATCTGTTGCTTCTTCTCCTGCTTTCAGGTGCTTTAGAGAATAGCTTGACTCCCTCTTCTTTGGGGCAGCCCCTGAGATATTCGAATACTGCTATCATGTCCCCCCTTGTCCTTCTCTTCGTTAAAGTAGACATACCCAATTCTAGCAACGGTTTCTTGTATGTTTTAGTCTCCAGGCCTTTAATCATCCTAGTTGCTCTTCTCTGCACTTTTTGCAGAGTCTCGGCATCTTTTTTACATCGTGGTGACCAGAACTGGACGCAGGTATTCCAGGTGTGGCCTTGCCAGGGCCTTGCAGAGTGGTGCCAACACTTCATCTTGATATCGTGATTCTATCCCGTGCCAGGGAAAAAGAGCTGGTGGCACCTTTTGCCTGCAGACAAGGGGTTGTCAGAGGGAGATAAGATAACAGCCTCCATATCTGAAGGGAGGAGAGGCAGGACCAGGGCACTGGGTTAAAAGTAGAGGCGCCTGGGTGTGGGAGCCGTCAGCCAGGGGAACTGCTTGCCACATGAAGTGGTGAGCTCTCCTTCCTTGGAGGTCTTCAAACAGAGATGGTGGTGTGTGTGTGTGTGTGTGTGTGTGTGAGAGAGAGAGAGATGCTTTGTTGTATCCCACATTAAATGGGTGACTAGATGATCTCTAAGGTGCCTTCCACTCTGGGATTTGAACATCTCCAGTGTTCCTGGCTCCTGGGAAGCTCACAAACTGCCTGGAAGTGGCCTTGTTCCTAAATGGGCCACCACACACACATATATGTAAACTTCCCCCCCCACACACACACAGAGAGTTTTCCTTTGCTTTCGGTTGAGAAGAGTGTGTGTCTCCTCTTGGCCTCTAGCATTGATCTACGGCACAGCCTGCATCACAGTGGCGGCTCTTTCATCCTTGCTCGGAGGGGGCGTGCTGCAGGTAACGCAACTCTTCCTAGAAAGCAAGCCCCCTCCCCAAGAAAGAGCCCCCTCCCTCCCTTGGGGCGTGACCCCCCCACCCATGACGGCTGTACCTTTTGCCCCCCCATAACCTTTGGGTGAATGGACGGGGCCAGGGGCTGAAGGGGTGCAGCCCCTCTCTTTCCCCCACAAGACCCCCTCCTCCCCATCACCATCCCAGGCCCCAGCCTGTGTGTCCTGGGGGTGGGGGAGGGTCTCGGATGGACAGTGAGGTGTCTGCTGATTCAGCCCTCCGCCCCCCCCCTGCTTCCCGTGCTTCTCCGACAGGGCTCCTTCACGGTCATGGGGGTGATCAGTGGGCCCCTTCTGGGCGCCTTCGTCCTGGGCATGTTCTTTCCAACCTGCAACACTCTGGTGAGCCCCCCCCCCAGGGCGAGGAGAGGGGGAGAGGGAGGGGGGCTGGGGTGGCCAGCAGAGGGCAGCTGCAACGGGGGACTCGAAGGCCAGATCGGGGGAGGGGTAGTGCTCCGGAGTCTTCCAGGTGGGGCTCTTGGGCTTGCAGGGCGGAGCCAAGAGAGGGTCCATTCGGGCCCCTGGGGGGCTGGAGGGGGGGATGGGGGGCGGTAGGCCAACCGGGCAACCTGCCTCTCTTTTCCTGGGCCTGGGTGAAGCAGCTTTGGGGGAGCCCGTTCCTGTCCTCGCTGCAGAAATGGTTGCGGGAATGGCCAGGTTCCCCCCCCCCGTCCCAGGCTTTGCCCGCAGGCTGCTTCCCCAGGGAGCCGGGGCTTGGCCAGGGTTGACCACGGGCTCCTCTTCTCTTCCAGGGGGTTTTCTCCGGCCTTGGCGTCGGCTTCCTCCTCTCCTTCTGGGTCGCGGTGGGGGGCACCCTCTACCCGCCCAGCGCCAGCACCATGGGCGTCCTGCCCTCCTACGCAGACTTCTGCCCGCTTTACAACGTCTCCCAGGGCACCAACAGCACCCTGCTCTACGGGCCGCTGCCCCCCCGCCCCCCCTTGGAGCAGCCAGAGAGGTGAGCAGAAGGGGTGAGCGGGCTTCTTCGGGGAGCCCCTTCGGAGCCCCCCCTCAACCCCCCTCCAGGGATCTCCTTTTGGCCCCTCCTCACGCTTTCCTGTTTTGAAGCTGGACTGGCACAGTCTGTGGGAGACCCCCTCTGCCCCTCCCTTCCAGTTTCTCCACCCACTTTCCAGTCCGTGGGGTCTGCAATCCCTGGGACCCCCAACCTTGGCGACTTTAAGTCTCATGGACTTCAACTCCCAGAATTCCCCATCCAGCCTCTGCAGGGCCCGGCTGGGTGGGAGGGGGGGCAGCGCTGAGGTTCACGGGGGGGTGGTGTCTGTTGGCTCCCAAGACAGCTGACCAAGTTGCCCCCTTGCAGGCCGGGCATTGCGGACGAATTCTATGCCATCTCCTACCTCTACTACGGCGCCGTGGGGACCCTCAGCACGGTGGCTGTGGGGCTGCTGGCCAGTGGCCTGAGAGGTGAGCAGGCGGGCAGAGCGGCTAGCGAGGGCCCCTCCACAGAGGTGGGCTTAGGTGGACCTCACGCCTGCCTCAAGCCCGGATAGAGCCCCTGGGGGGGCCTTTTACAAGAGGGCCCCTGCCTCTCTCCGGGGCACTTGAGGCCCCCCACCCACTTCCTGGTCAAGAACCTTCCGAGGAGCAGAAGAGCCAGAGAGAGAGGCTGCTGCAGTGGTGTTTCCAGGCGGGGGGTGGGAGTAGATGATCTCTCAGGCCCCTTCCAGCCTTTAGGTTTTATGAAATAAGGACATGGCGTGGTTCTGTGGCAGGGCCGCAGAGATTTGTCGGTCCAGTTCTCCTCAGATTTGGTAAAAAGAGGTAAAAAGACCCTCCTGGGCATCGGGGGGGGGGTCACCAGAGTGGCTCAAGTGGGAGGCACAAAGGGACCCCGACACTTAGAAACCCCCTCTGGCAGCCCTTGCCTGCTCAAAGGACCCCAAGGATCTGAGGGCCAAGAGGGGGCTTCCCGGGTCCCGGAAGCAGCTGGGTGGGACTGTGGGGGCAGACGTGGCTGGTGCTGGTGGGCAAGTCCTGGGTGGGGCAGGGGCTGAGCGTGGGGGGTCACCCTTGGCCTGGACTCGCTCCCTCACTTCTCCGGGATTTTTTTCAGGCTCCCCTGTCGAGGACAGCAAACGGCCATCCGTGTTGTGGTGGGATGTCATGAAGAGGCCATTGGATACGGTAGGGAGGAGGAGCAGCGTGGGCTGGGGGCTGAGCAGCAGGGGAGGGGGCTCTGGAGAGTGGCGGATGAAGCCCATCTCTGCTCTGGAGGTCGGAGAATCCACAATTCCTCCAAGAAGGTCACTGAGAGCGCTCCTTCTCCAAGCACCCTTGGCGGCTTCTAGCCCGTGCAGTGCCCCCACCCCACCTCCTCCCCCCCAGCCCCAGGTGACTGGGCAGCTGTGGCAGACGCAGCCTTTATGTGGCTCTTTGGGGTTCCCCAAATAAGATCAGGTTTTGTGCGTTCACAATGCTCCAGGCAGAGTTGGCTTCTCTTGGGCTGCTCCTTCTGTATTTCTGGGGGGGGGGGGGCTGGGAAATCAATAAAGGAGAATATTTACAACGGAGGGCTGAACTAGGGGTCCTTGGTGCTCTCTGAGCTGGGTGGGGTTTCTTGCACAGACAGTGCTAAAAGGAAGGGGGTGTGTGTAGAGAGGAGGAGGAGGACTGTGTGGTCCTTGGCACTGAGTAACAACTAAGTAACATCATCAGTGCCAGAAGAGAGGGGGGGTCTTGCTCCCAGTTGATGTTCTAGAGCAGGGGTAGGCAACTTTGGCCCTTTAATGACTTGTGGACTTCAACTCCCAGAATTCCTGGGCCAGCCATGCTGAGGGGAAAGAGAGGTTTCCAAGCTGAGCCAGGCTGGCTCAGGAATTCTGGGAGTTGAAGTCCACGAGTCATGAGGGGGCCATAGTTTCCCCCATGCTGGCTCAGGGATTCTGGGAATTGAAGTCCACCAGTCATAAAAGAGCCAAGGTTGCCTACCCCTGTTCTAGAGCCTCGCCTTGCCGGTGTCGGTGGGGGTGGTCTCAGAGGTGCTCTGGTTGAGCTGTTTAATGTTGGCTGGTTTGGCAGTTTCTCATTGTTCCCCGTTTTTGATCTGATGTTAAATCTTGGAGTTGCCCTATGCCAGTGGTTCTCAACCTGTGGCTCGGGACCCCATTTGGGGTCGAACGACCATTTCACAGGGGTCGCCAAACAACACAGTCCGCCATTTCCCCCCCCCCTTTTCCTTAGCTGTGCTACTCCCTTTTATTCTATTGGCTTTTGAAAGCCAATAGAATAGACTCTCTTGAATAGAGTTTAATTCTATTGGCTTTCAAAAGCCAATAGGAATTGCCCAGGCTGTCTCTGCCCTGCTGAGCCCGTGAAAAGTCCCATTCTGCAAACAGTGCTGCACCAGTTGAGTAGTCCTTGACTTACGACTGGTTGGGGGTCGCGGCATTAAAAAGGTTGAGAACCACTGCCGTATGCTCATCTGAGCCTTGATTGCTGGTGGGGAAGTTGTTCCCTTTGTGGCTTTGTTGAGTGTCTCCTTTGCACAATAGGTAGATCTGGTTTATGTAGATCACAGGTCTGCAACCGTGACAACTTTAAGACTGGTGGACTTCAGCTCCCAGAATTCCTCAGCCAGCTGCTGAGGAATTCTGGGAGCTGAAGTCCACCAGTCTTAAAGTTGTCACGGTCGCAGACCCAATGTAGATCTATTGATGGCCTGTCACTCAGAATGCCGGGCTTCTGGAAATTCCCCACCGTTTTTGGGCTTGGCTTGGCCTAGGATGGTCAGTTTCCCAGCTGAAGCTACAGTTAAGCCTGTCCACGTGTTGTGACATTAAGGAGCTTTCACCCCGTCTTCTGAGGGCAGGGGACGTGGCCCAGTGTCTTGGCTGATTCCTTCGCCCAGGGTGCCCAGAGGCCGGGAATTCTGGCTGATTTCCTTGACTCCCCCAGATCAGAGCTGGCAAAGGTCTTCCAGAACTGCTCGTGGCTCCCGGGCAAGTGGAAGGACGGGGCTTACTCCCTCTCTTACCCCGGGGCTTACTCCCTCTCTTCTCCCGTCCCCTGCACAGACCCCCGAGGACGCTGCTGATCCCCAGAAGAAGGCGCCAGACTCGGCCTCCCTGGATCTCGGCTTCGAGGCGGAAAAGAAGACCCTGCTGGCCAAGAAGGAGCTGAGCCTGGCCACAGGCTCTGCGGAGTCCATCTGTGCCTGCCACACTCTTGACCACGGCTGCTTTCACCTCCTCCGAGAGACCTGCGTCTAGGGCCAGAGGGTGGGGTGGGGGGGCAGAGCAAAGACTGCCTCAAACATCAGGCTGGCTCTGTCTGACCACGCCTGCAGGGGTCCTCAACCTTGGCCACTTTAAGATTTGTGGACTTCAACTCCCAGAATTCCTCAGCTCACCTCTGCTCCATGGGATGAATGCAGAGACCCCCTCCCCAAGCAGGCGGACATCTTCCTCAGCCAGGGCTGTTTCTCACCCAAATCTGCCTTACGCCAGCAATTCCTGAAAGGCCATTTCCAAATGGACATAGGTGTGAGTGTGTTTGCATGCAAAACACACCTGCAGCGAAGAAGGAGAAAGCCCCTCTTCAACCCAGCCATGCCCTCTGCAGAAGATGTGGGGACGCCAGTTGGAAACACCCCCTCCCCAAAGGGGGGAGCTGGGGCTGAAAGGGCTTTTAGAGGAAACCACCTGCTTCATGGAAGGGGCACTTGTGATGTTTACAGAAATGTTTGGCAAATGTGTCCAGGTGATGGCTATAAAGACCAAACTTGGCAAGCTCCATCAGCCAGGTTTCCTCCTTCCAATCACACATACAACACAACACGCACACACACAGCTTTGTGTGTGTGTGGGGGGAGCCAGTAGAAAGTGCAATAAATTATAGACATCATTTTTAAACAAACTCGATCGTTCTGTGCTTTTTCTGCAGCCTCTGTGCCATTGCACAGCTGTATCTTCAAGGCAGTTGTTTCTTGCAAATGGTCCTTGGGGGTCTTGGATATTTGGTGCCCCTCCAGGCCAGGTGGAGCAGATCTGCGCCCTGTTTCTCACCGCTCCTTGAGCCAGGCAGAATATCCACAGGTGAATTCTTGGGGACATCTGGATCCCTAAAAGCAGGGTCCTCCAGCTGGCTTGTCTCTTTCTGTCTCAGACAAGCAGGAAAGTGGGAGGTCTTGGTTTTTTCTTCTCCAACCTGCAAAAGCAGGAAAGGGAAAATGGTGACCTATTGGATCTCCTAGTTGCCTCCCATCCTGTTCAAGCTGGCCCATTTATGCCGGCTCCTTGGGTTCCGCACGTCTTGCGGGCTTCGAAGCCAAGGACGCCATCTTTGTAGAGGTTGTTGCCCTTAAAACTACTGGTGGGGCAGCCCAGCGGGCCACAAAGCCGTTACCAGGACAACGGGTCCTCATACGATAACGCGGATTGGCGGCCAGGTGGGAGAGAATACGTCATCCCCTTGGGCTCGCCCATCGATAGGGACAGCACTAGGAAGACTTCGCAGCGAGAGATGCACATGCGCAAAGGAAGCAGCAGCGTCCAAATCCAATTGAAGACCGCGCGGGCGGCCATCTTCGTTATGGGCAGCCCTTTTGTTCCTCTCACTCCCGGTCCCTCTTTACAGGGGGCAACGCTGAAAAGGCCTCCCAGGCGGGGCGCGGGTGTCTTGTTTGGTCCTTCCTTATTGCGGGCGGAGAGTCAGAATAGTGTGAGACAGGCGGGGAAGGAGAGGGGAGCGCGGGCCTGAACGCAGACACGAATTGCCCTTAACAAACATGGCGGTGGGCCGTCTCGGAGGGGCGGAAGCCACCCGCCGTTTCCGCCCCGAGGGGCGAGGTACACCGTGACGCCCAAAGGCTGCGACCCCCGGCGGCGGCGGCGGCGGTAGGTAGGGGCTGCGGTGGGTCGAGGCTGCCCGAGGCCGAGAGGAGGGAAGGCGCGGCTCTCCCGCCGGCGCGGTCGGCCTCCGCTCCGCCGGTGACGCGGGCCCGGAAACGAGGGACAGCGCGAGGCTGGGAGGGGCACCGCCGACCCTCGTTCTTTCCTGGGGAGGGGCAGATCAGGGGCTGGGCCGGGGTCTCGAGGCCCTGGGGGAGGCTGGAGGTCAGGGAAGGCCTCGGGGTGTGGCCCCTCCGAACACCCGGAACCGTCTTTCTCCGCCTCTTGGCCTTAAGAGCGGTGGACTACAACTTCCAGGATGCCCCAGCCGTTAAAGAAAGACTGGCTGCCTGGGGAATCCTGGGAGTTGTAGTCCAGCCCTCTTAAAGCCGCAGAGCGTTGTGATGGGGTTGCCTTTGGGGTGTTTTTCCCACCTCTGGGGAGAATGATTGGGGGGCGGAATGTATGGTTGACCCCACAAATCATCTCCTCCAACCTTCTTCCTCATACAGGAAAAGCGGTTTGCCCCCCACTCCACGCCCGGCCTCTTCTAAGCCCCCTTGGGAGACACAGACCCCCTGCCCCTTTGTGGGGGGGGACTGGCCCGCTCTTACCTGGACCCTCCCTGTACAGGGCAGCTCCAGATTTCTGTTGTTAAGCAAGACAATTGCTAGGTGAGTTTTGGCCCATTTTACGACCCTTGCCACAGTTGTTAAGTGAATTGCTGTTGTAGCTGTTAACGTAGTCACATGGTCGTTAAGTGGATCTGGCTCCCCCCATTGACGTTTGCTTGTCAGAAGGTCGCAAAAGGGATCAGGTGAGCCCGAGACGCTTCGACCGTCATAATTACGAGTCAGTTTCTGAGCGTCAGGATTTTGATCGCGTGAGCAGGGGATGCTGCAACGGTTGTTAAACGGGAAGGAGGGACATAAGTCTCTTTTTTCAGTGCCGTTGTAATTTCAAACGGTCACTAAGCAAACGGCTGAAAGTCGAGGACCTGCGGGAGATTTTTCCTTGGGGCTGAGGGACGCGCTGGGGGATGCCACCTGCCACTCCGGTTCCCGGCTCCTCTGCCGACCTGGCCCAGAGCGGGTGGGCCCCGGGGGGGAGGCCCTCCTGCCTCTCCTGCTGCCTCTGTTCCTCCAGGCCGGACCTCCCAGGTGACGCATTGAGCATTTGGGAAAGTTCACAGGAGCCAAGAAGGGTCTCTTCCTCAGGAGAGTTATAGCTGGGGAGGGGTCCCGGGGCTTCTCTGGCCCAGCCCACTGGACAGGCGGTCCTCCACTTATATTCACAGAGTGACCATTCCAAGTTACAACGACACAGAAAGAAGTGACTCGTGATTGTTTTTCACACTTACAACCATGTCAGCATAAAATAGAACTGGAAGGGACCTTGGAGGTCTTCTAGTCCAGCCCCCTGCTCGAGCAGGAGAACCTATACTGTCTCAGACAAGTGACTAGTCTCTTTTTAAACACCTCCAGTGATGGAACACTCATGATTTCTGGTGGCAAGCTGTTCCACTGGTTAATTGTCCTTACTGTTAGGAACTTCCTCCTTAATTCCAAGTTGCTTCTCTCTCTGGTCAGTTTCCAACCGTTGTTTCTTCTCTTCCCCTCTGGTGCTTTGGAGAATAACATGACCCCCCCCTCTTTATGGCAGCCCCTCAGATACTGGAATGCTGCTATCATGTCACCCCTGTGTCTTCTTTTCTTTAGACTGGCCAAACCCAAGTCCTGCAGCTGTTCTTCATACGTTTTAGTCTCCAGGCCTTTAGAATAAATAGAATAGAGCTGGAAGGGACCTTGGAGGTCTTCTATTCCAGCCCCCCACTCAAGCAGGAGAACCTATACCATCTCAGACAAGTGACTGTCCAGTCTTTGATCATCTTAGCTGCTCTTCTCTGAACTTTTTCCAAGGTCTCAACATCTTTTTTGTGATATGGTGACCAAAGTTGGCTGCAGTATTCCAGGTGTGGTCTTACTAGGGCAGTGATGGCAAACCTTTTAGAGACCGAGTGCCCAAACTGCAACCCAAAACCCACTTATGTATCATCGGGTGCTGGGTGGGTGTGGCCCATTGGGTGGGTGTGGCCCATTGGGTGGGCGTGGCTGCAGTGGTAATGGCAGACTGGGTGGGACTAAAAAGTTCAATCAATTCCAACTTTGTGAGATCTTTTTTTTCCCCGCGAGGTTGAAATTGATTGATTGATTGATTCTTTTTTTTTTTTTACATGGCGGTGGAGGCCTAAAGCGAAAAGGTTTTATGAAACCCAGCTGTCGGACTGGGGCGACGGCGCTCGTGCCCACAGAGAGGGCTCTGAGTGCCGCCTCTGGCACCCGTGCCATAGGTTCGCCACCACGGTACTAGGGTTTTATAAAGTGGCACTAATACCTCGCGTGATTTTGATTCTTGATGCCTCTGTTTATACAACTCAGGATTGTATTAGCTTTTGTGGCTGCTGCTGCACACGGCTGGCTCCTGGTCAAGGGATCGTCCACTAGGACTCCAAGGTCCCTTTCATGGTTACTGCTATTAAGCCCGGTTTCACCCAATCTATATTTGTACCTGTGGTTTTTCTTGCTTAAGTGTAAGACTTTGCCTTTCTCCACATTAAATTTCATTTTGTTGGATAGAGCCCATTGTTCAAGTCTGTTAAGATCTTTTTGGATTCTGAGTTTGTCTTCTAGGGCAGTGATGGTGAACCTTTTGGAGACCGAGTGCCCAAACTGCAACCCAAAACCCACTTATGCATCAAGTGCCGGATGGGCGTGGCCCATTGGGTGGGCGTGGCTATGGTGGTAACGGCAGACTGGGTGGGACTAAAAAATTCAATCAATTCCAACTTTGCAAGATCTTTTTTTTCCTCTGAGAAGTTGGAATTGACTGATTGGTTGAACCTTTTTTTTTCTACACCAGTGTTTCCCAAACTTGACAATTTTAAGGCATGTGGACTTCAACTCCCAGAATTCCACAGCCAGCATTGCTGGCTGTGGAATTCTGGGAGTTGAAGTCCACATGCCTTAAAATTGTCAAGTTTGGGAAACACTGTTCTACACGGCGATGGAGGCCTAAAGCAAAAAGCTTTTATAAAAACCCAGCTGAAGGCCTAGGCCTGGGGTGATGGCGCACGTGCCCCCAGAGAGGGCTCTGAGTGCCGCCTCTGGCACCCGTGCCACAGGTTCGCCATCACTGTTCTAGGATGTTGGCTACTTCTGCCGGTTTGGTGTCATGTGCAAATTTGATGAGTTCCCCTCCAATTCCCTCGTCTAAGTCATTGATGAAGATGTTGAAGAGTTTACTGGGCCTAAGATGGAGCCTTGTGGTCCACCACTGCTTACTTCTCTCCGTGTGAATGTGGTGCCCTTGAGGACTAGTCGCTGAGTACAGTTTGCCAGCCAGCATCCTCACAGTCACGTGATAACAACCCAGGCACTTGGCAATCAGGGTGTATTTGTGATGATTGCAGTGTCCGCAGATCCCAGGGCCGCCGCACGCACAACCATTCCAGCTTCTGACAAAGTCAGTGGGGGAAGCAGGAGTCACTGAACAGCCACCCGACAACTGCAGCAGTTCGCACTTCCAACTGTGGTCGCCCCAAAGTGTGTAGCTAAATGTCCACGGAGACTCGCGGTCATCCAGGTCAGGGTCGTCCCAAAAGTGCTTTTTTGAGAGTTTTTTTTCCCCTTAGACGTTTCGCTTCTCATCCAAGAAGCTTCTTCAGGTTCTGACCAAAGGGTGGAGGAGGATGGAAGGACTAACATTCAGTTCCACGAAGGCTCCACACACCCGTTTGCACTCCGATTCAGGGACCCTGGAGGCCCAGATGGACCCCCAAGTGGCCTCAGAGACCCTCGGAGGGAGCGCTAACAACCAGATGACTGCTAAGGAATGTAAATCCTCCTGCACCATTCAGTCAGAACTGAAGAAGCTTCTTGGATGAGAAGCAAAACGCCCTCAGGGGGAAAAACCCAAGACACTCCAGTTGCCCCTCAGGAAAAAAAAAAGCACCTTCAGTTTAACAACTGTTAGCAAAAAAGGTTGTACAATTTGGCACCACTTGCACAGCGGCAGAAATTCTGGTCCTCACTCCAGTTGTAAATCCAGGTGCCTCGCGTTTGTACTTACGTATATTTACGCCACATAGTTTAAGTTAAAATACACCGGGATTGCCACTTATTTATTTTTCAAGTTAAATAAAGGGGAGAAAATCCAAGGTGCCCCAGGACAGGGGTGGGCAACCTCGGCTCTTTTATGACTCGTGGACTTCAACTCCCAGCTATGCTGACCCAGGAATTCTGGGAGTTGAAGTCCATGAGTCATAAAAGAGCCGAGGTTGCCTAACCCCTGCCTCAGGATGATGGGGGCTGTCACCCCTCCCTCCCAAGGCAGCCGGCCAGACCTGACCCACCCAGCTTGGTCCTTTGGGAAGGAAACTCAACTCCATTTGCAGCTAAAAGGTTCCTTGTACTAAAAGCCGAGTGGCTGCAGAGACAGAACCAGGAGTCCGAGTGCGGAAAATCCCCCGCTGACTCCCTCCCTTCCCTGGTCCACCCTGCCGTCGTCTCCCCATTGTCCAGTCACGCTCGGAGATGCTCCGGTCCCCGTCCCTCTGGAGGCCGGCTGGGGCTGCGCCTCCCAGGACCGCAGTCTTGGGACGCCTCTGGCCGTGGGGGGTTTCCTTTCGGCTTCCCCCTTCTCCCCACAGCCCAGGGCAGATGGGCACCCGGCGAAGCCCCGGCGTGAGAGCGAAGGGACGGCAGCTCCGTCGTAACCTGGTTTTCTTCCTCCCGGCCCTGCAGGCGGGATGCCCAAGAAGTTCCAAGGAGAGAACACCAAGTCGGCCGCCGCCCGGGCAAGGAAGGCCGAGGCCAAGGCGGCGGCAGACGCCAAGCGGCAGAAGGAGCTGGAGGATGCCTTCTGGAGGGACGAAGACAAGCACGTCATGCGCAAGGAGCACCGGAAGGTACCGGAAGGAGGGAGGGAGGAATTCATAGAGAGGAATCCTTGGGGTCTCCTGCCCCCAAATCCTCGGGGCCTGCCTGGGTTGAATCGGGGGCTCCGGAGTTCAGGAGCCGGGGGGGCAGACTGGGTCCCTGAGCGCAGGGCCGGGGGCTCTGGCGTGGCAGCCTGGGTTTCGGGCAGTTCGGCATCCCCGGGGGGGGGGCTGGAAAAGGGGGCGGGGGTCCCTTGGCGGGACCACAGGCGGGCAGAGGAAAAAGGGAAGAAGCACCAGAGCCACTTGCAGGACCAGCCTCGGTTGCACCAGCTGCACCACACACACACACACACACACACACACACACACACACACACGCATGCCACAGATTCACAGCACAAAGCCCCCCCGCCCCCCAAATTGGATTTTCTTGTTTCTCCTTGAAGACGTTTTTTGTTTCTCATCCAAGAAGCTTCCTCAGTTCTAAGAGAGGCTTCTTCCTTCAGCACTGAAGAAGCTTCCTGGATGAGAAGCGAAACGTCTTCATGGGAAAACACGGAAGGCCCGCTGCCTCTGGAAAAGCAGCTCTGGGACGGCCCTGGACATCCCTCCGAGGGTTTTTCCCTCAGGCCCCGGCCCTGGCTGGCTGGCTGGCTGCAGCCCCCTTCTGATTTTATTTCGTTTGTATCCCACCTCCATTATTTTGAGAAACACTTCAAAGCGGCAGATGCATCCAACTCACCGTATTCCTCCTGTTTTCCCACCACAACAACCCTGTGAAGTAGGCTGGGGTGAGGGAGAACGACTGGCCCAAGGCCTCCCAGCTGGCTTTCCTAAGGCAGGACTAGAACTCATCACCTTCTGCTTTCCAGACAGACAGACAGACGTAGGTAGGTAGGTAGGTAGGTAGGTAGGTAGGTAGATAGATAGATAGATAGATAGATAGATAGATAGATAGATAGATAGATAGATAGATAGATAGATAGATAGATAGATAGTAGATTAGAAGATAGAGATAGATAGATATAGATTAGAAGAGATAGATAGTAGACTAGAAGATAGAGATAGATATAGATTAGAAGATAGATATAGATAGAGATAGACAGATAGATAGACAGATAGCGATAGATAGATAGATAGATAGATAGATAGATAGATAGATAGATAGATAGATAGATAGATAGATTAGAGGAGAGAGACAGACAGATAACATTGTCATTTTTTTTACTCTGGGCACGTTGGCACACATTACAAACGAGTGTTTTTATGATACCTTTTAATTGTTGCTGTTAATTGTATGCTGTTGTAAGTGACCTTTCTTGGGATGGGCAGCCTCCCGGTCAGAGAGCGCCAGGGCTGCAGGAGGGGGGGGGGAAGGAGGCCGCACTGGCCTGTTGACCGCACCAGACCTTGGACAGGTGGAGGAGCCTGGGTGGGAGATGAGGGAGGAGAGACCCTGGCCCAGCTCAAGAGTATTGCCCAAGGGACCAAGGCAGGCCCTCCCCTCTGCTGGAGCCCCCAAAGTGGGCCAGGCACCCTTGGGAAAGAAAACCCAAACCCAGAACCGCCTCTCCGAAGGAGCTGGGAAAGAGATTGGGGAGGGGCTGAGTTCTTGGAGAAGAGAAGGGAGGGCGGGGGGGGGAAGCCAGCCCCCTTCAGCCGGTGGGGCCCGGATCTTTCAAGGCCTTCTGGGCCGCGCCAGGAGCTGCGGGCGGAGGGGCTGCGTGCTGCCCGTGTTGGGCCAGCCACAACCACAGACTCCCCTCCACGACGGCCTGGCCCCATCCTGGCCCTTAGGGGAGGAAGGTCCCCCTTTTGGCACTCGGGGCCCGGAGAAAAAACATTCGGGAGCCTGAACCGCCTTCTCCACGAAGGCCACGGGAAGCGTTCAGGCCGCTCCGTAAGACTCTGGAAGGAGGAGGAGGAGGAGGCCAGCCCCACCAGGCCAGGAAGCTGGACTCCCCAGAGGAAGTCTGAAGCAACTTGGATCGGGGTTCTGGTCTGTAACCTCTGGGGGGCCTCCAGGGCCTCTGGGGTCCCTCGCAGCCAGGAGCAATTTTTGACAGAGCGAGCCTGGGTGTGTGTGTGTGTGTGTGGTTTTGCCGTGCCTGTCTTAGGTGGATTGTTCTGCCTTGTGACAGAGACAGGACAGCCCCCCCCTCACCTCCAGAGCTGTCGGACTCTGGACCCCCCCATCTCCCCCCCCTTGAGGGGCCCAAGAGGTTCATTGCGCATCTGCTGGGGTTTTTCTTCTGACCGCCTTGCACGTCAGCTGTTCTTTTGGGGGGGCTCCCCCCATCTCTGCCCCCCCCAGGAGGAGCGGGAGAAGCGCCGCCTGGAGCAGCTGGAGCGCAAGAAGGAGCTGCAGCGGATGCTGGAGGAGGAGGACGCCCAGCTGAAGGGCAAGGCGCCCAAGACGCCCGGCCCCGCCAGGGTCACCCGGGCCCAGATTGACGAGGCTCTCCAGAAGGACCTGAAGGAGGGCGGGGACACCGCCGGCGGCGGTGAGTGCGGCTGCCCCCTCGGCTGTGGCAGGGGGCGGCCGGGCCCCGGTGGGGCAGGGGCGGCAGGACAAGGGCGGGAGACCATCAGGAGATCCCGAAGTCTGCTCGGATGCAGCGGCCTCAGGGGAGGGGACGGGCCACGGGAGGCCAGCCCCGCCCAGAGACGGCCTCCCTCCCTCCCTCCCTCCGGCCCTTCTTGGGCAGGTGCCGGTGCCAGGCCCCCCCGGCTGAAGCCTGCCCGTTCCTTCCTGGCAGAGAAGCCGAAGAGCCACCTGGAGCTGCCCTTGGAGGAGAACCTGAACCGGCGGGTGCTGGAGGAGGGCGCGGTGGAAGCCCGCACCATTGAGGAGGCCATCGCAGTGCTCAGGTGGGGCTGCAGGGCGGGAGCAGCGCCTCTTTCGCGGAGGGTCACGGGGAGCCCCCAGCCGATCAGGGAGACAGCGGACGGGGCCCCCGCCAGTGGAGAGCCTGGCCGAGCAGGGCGCCCTCCTCTGCCCCTTGGCCCTCTTGGCATGTGGGGCGCCTGGGGGCCTTTGCGGGGGTCACCGTGGGGGGGCCCTGGCCCCAGCAGAACGAGCAGCTCCCTTTGCCACCAGCCCAGGGGAGGGGCTGCAGCTCCCCTCCCCTCTTTTGGCCCCGGCTGGGGGTCAGCCCTGCTCCTGGGAGCGTGGGGAGGGACCTTCAGCAGAGCTGGAGGCTAGGAGCCCCCCCTGCAGTTTGGGAGTCCAGAGGTGCTGGGAACCGGCATGCAGGGCAAAGGGGCCCTGGGGCAGGGGGAGCCCCGGCTGGGGCCCTGGGGCAGGCCAGGTGGGGAGGGGTCCGGGCACAGCCGCCCCCTCACCCTGCTGCTGCCCCGCCCTTCCCCGCAGCGTGGCTGAGGACCTGGACCGGCACCCGGAGCGCCGGATGAAGGCGGCCTTCTCGGCCTTCGAAGAGGGGACCCTCCCCCGCCTGAAGCAGGAGAACCCCAACATGCGGCTGTCCCAGCTGAAGCAGCTGCTGAAGAAGGAGTGGATGAGGGCGCCCGAGAACCCCATGAACCAGCGCCACTCGGCCTACAACAGCCAGAAATGAGACCCCTGGGGGGCTGCTTCCCCCCCTCTGGCCCCCCACAGGCCCTCGCTGGACTGGGGAAACCCCCTCCCCTTTTCCCTTCGGCCCCCCTTTGCTCTGGAGGGCAATGAACGGCGGGGCAGGAACGGCTCTGGCAGACCGGAGCCCCCCCACCCCCTGCACCCCCCACCCCAATTCCTGGTGGGGAGGGGAGGCCGTCTTCATCCCGGGAGGGTCTCCCCATTCTTTCTTGTACTTCCCCCCCCCCTGAAATGGAAGGGAAGTTTTGCTTTGCCCCCCCCTCTCCCCCAGTCCAGATAGATAGCCCAGCCTGGGAAGGGGTGGGGGGCACTCCGCCTCCTTTGTTCTGCCCTGTCCTGAAGACCCCCAACTCAGGAGGCCCCCTTGACTCCACCAGCAGCCTCCAGCCCCCCACCTGATGGGGAGGAAATTGGGGTGCAGGCATGACCCCCCTCCCCCTGCAAACGGGGTCAGGATTCTTGGCCAGGACCCTCTTGCCTTTCCCTCGCCCTGCCCCCCCTCCCCGGTCCTCCTCTGAGGCTGGAGACCCCCGTTTGCTTCGGTTGTCTTTGAGGGCTCAGAGGGCCTCTCACTCATTGGCACAAGGAGGCAGGAGACCCCTGCCTCCTCTGCTGGCCTGTGGACCCCAAGTAGCCCCCAGACCCATCGGGGTTCGGCCTGTCCCTTCCTGACCCCTGGAACGGAGACCCTTGACAGCTTCCCAGGGATGGGCCAGCCGTGTCGCTGGGACCTGCCCGCCCTGAGGGGCAAAACCTGCCCCAAAGAGGGTGGGGGGGGATTTCCCTGGGCCCCTCCTCCTGGGGCGGTGCCAGAGTTGGCCTCTGGCTGTGGGCTTCCAGGGGCCCCTCCCCCAGCCCTTCTCCCGCCTCTGCCAGCCCCACTCGCAGGGCGCTCCCGGCCCCCTCCCTGGCTCCCCCCCACAACTGTGTGGGGACCTTTGCCCTGGGGGGCCCCCAGTGCCATTCGCCAGGCTCAAACCGGCTGGAGCCTTTGGGGGCAGGGCTGGGAGGAGCAGGTGGGGTGGAGGGCAGCCCTCACTCCCGGCCAGGCAGCCCCCCCCCACTCCAAGCGCTTGCAGGCCTGCCTTTCCCTTGCCACCCTCCTGCCCATTCACACACACACACACACACAGACACACAGACACACACACATCCTCCTCCTCCTCTGCTTGGGCCTTCAAAACACCTGCAGGGAAGGGGGGGCTATGCCAGCTGGCCCCTCCCACTTTGCCGCTTCCTCCGTGTTCAGGGAAAGTTCTGGACTTTTAAAACATGGACAGATACCTCAACCCCACAACAAAGACGAAATAAAGAGGATTGTGCCCACCTCTGTCCTCCGTCGCTCTCTCGCCCAGCGGCTCTTTGCCCTCAGCGGCCTTGGTGGCTCTGCTGCCCCTTCCGGGCCTGACCCCTGTTTCCTCAGCCCCCCCTCAACAAGACCCCTGGGGTGCTAGAAGGGGGGGCTCAAGGGGGGGGGAACCCAGAAGCGGCTGGCCTCACTGCAGAAGGGTTAAAAGGCTGGTGCCTAGAGGCGGTTCTGAGGGGATTCCCCCCTTTCCCAGCAGCATCTTTCTGCAGGGGGTTGGGCTTCTAGTGACACCCCACCCCGCAGCTCCCTGGTGGTTGGCCCCTCCCTCCCCTGTGGAGGGGCTGGGGGCCGTGGCAGTAGTGTCCCCCAGGGCAGCTCCTACGTCGGAGGGGGGAGGTGGAAGTGAAAGGCTGCCACCCTCCTGGGCTGCCTGTGAGTGAGATACAGTCTAGCTTGAAGGCCCCCCACCCTGGGTCCAAAAGGGGCACGGGGACCCCAAGAGCCTTAGCCCTTCCGCCCCCGCCCCCCCTCCCGGCCCCAACCGTGGCTGTTGGGAGGATTCCCTCCTCCCTCTGCTGTTGGGGGGGGATGATTGGCAGCCTGGCTCCAGCCTTCCCGGAGGAAGACGGGAGTGGTCCGGCCTTGTTGTCATGGCAACGGGGCATCTCCCTCTCCGGGGGGGGTGGGGAATCCGGGCGGGGGGGGAGAGTCACGCGGCAGCGGGCGGGATTCCTACGGAGAGCCGGGCTTCCCCGGGTGGGTCGGGGGCGGCGCGTCCCTGGAATGCAGACGGGCGGGGGCGCGGGAACCTCCCGCTTCGCGGCTGTTGTCGGCTCCTTCGAGGGAAAGGGAGCGCTTTCTCCGCGGGGACCCCCAACCGTCTCCCCCTCCCCTCTTGACGGCTGCGGTGGGGGGGAGGGTCTCCCTCCGCAGTCTCCTCCCAAGCGTAAAAGATGGGCGGCGGGGGGGGGAGGGATGCAGTGCGAGGAGGGATCGCCCCCTTCGGCTTTGCGGCCCAGAAATCGCGTCAGCCGAAAGCAGAGTTCGGGGGGGGGGTACCCCAGCAAGCGGGGTCTCGGAGGGGAGGGGCGGCTTGGCCTTCAGCGGGACCGGGAGGAGGGAGGTCGGGGTGAGGGGGGTCCTTGCCTGGCCGGGGCAGATCCCGCGTCGGGCACCGACGACCCTGGAGAAAACAGAGGCAGCTGCGAGCGGAAAGGGCTTTGGTTGGGCGGCGCGCGGGGGTGGGGAGGGGAGGGAAGCCCCGGAGAGGGTCGCGGCGTCCGGGGTTGCAGTTCCAGCACGCGGTGCCCCCCCCCCACCTCGCTCGGCTTCTCTGCCCCGGACCCGCGGCTGCTCTGCAGGGGAGACTGGCCGGCTTAGGGGAGGGTGACCTCAAACCGGCTCCCCCCGTCTTAATCTCACGAACATCCGCGGGATTCCTCCTGCAGATCCGCGCCGCCCGCCTTGGCTCCCTTCCAGCGGGAGCGCTGGGGGGGCAGGTGGGGCGGCGGCCTCTGCCCAGGAAGGACCGGACCGCAGGCTGAGCCTCGGGGACCGCGGGAGACCCCCAGCCGCGTCCCCCAAGCCCGAGCCGGCAGGCAGCAGGCGCCCCGCCAGCCGCGGTTCTCTCGGGCGGCCCGGGCCGGCCCTTCTCCTCGCCCGCCGCTGCCTGCAGGGTCCCGCCTGCGCTGGGAGCCCCCCGCGGCCTCCCCTGCGGCTCCAAGGGGCGCTTCGGAGGGGGCCGCCCCGGAGAAGCGTTTGAAAGCGGGAGGCGGTGGCGCACGGGTCCTCGTGGCGCTCCCCTCGCGCCGCCGCTCTCGATGGGTCCCCGGGGGGTTCTGGGTGCAGCTCAAGGTGCCAAAACCCCCGCCCCACCCGGGTGCCATAGTTGGCCCCTCCCCCCGGCGTGGGTCCCCCGCGGTCCCCCTCCCTGGCGAGGAACAGGGCTTCCCCTGGCCAGCCGGGCTTCGGGATGTGTTCGCTTTTAGTGATGGCGGGGAACCATTTTCTCCCGATTAAAGTTCAAGTTTTCGCTTCATGGAGCATCGTGGAAGAGAGGAAGGAAGGAGGGAAGGAAAAGAGAAGGAAGGAGGGAGGGAAGCGGGGCTGCTTCCTTCTCCGTTCGGTTTCACGAAAAGAGCCAGCCGGGACTTTTGGCCGCGCCCAGCGCGCCTTCTGCGCTCCCCTCGGTGGGCGGGCGGGCGGCCGGCCCGGGCTGGGGGTGGCGTAGAATCCGGCTCGCTGGTTTTGCGGGGAGGGGGGGAGCGCCGCCTGCCCGCCTCCGTTCAGCGGGGAGCGAAGGGCTCGGCTCGGCTCGGCTCGTCCGCTTCGCCCTCGCGCACCGCGGCTCTTGCGGCGCCGTCCGCGCTTTGCCCTCCGCCTTGCGTGGCGGCTCCCGCGGCTCCTTCCCCGCGAGGCGGGCCACGCGCGGCCTCTCGCCCCGTTGCCCGGGCCGCCCCTCCGGGGGGCTCTTGGGGGACGGGCGCCTCGGCCCCCCACCGCTCGCTGGCCCGGAGCTGCCGGCCGCCCGGAGCCCCCTCGTTCCGCGCACCGGATGGCGACTCCCGCTGCCCGCCCCAAAGGAGACCCCGCCGGCCGCTCCCCAGCTGGGCGGTCCTCCCCGCAGCTGCCCGGCCGGTTGGCTGGTTGCTGGGGCGGAGGGGCTTCCCCGGCGCTGCCGCTGCGGCTCCGAGGGCGGGAGGGGTGCTCGGGGAAAGCCCGCCCCCGCCCCTCCCTCCCTCTGCGTCCTGGCTGGCGGGAAGGCGACCCGCCCGCCGCCCCCCCGGATGGCGACGAGGTCCCGGGGGGCGCCCAGGCAGGGGAGGTCCGGAGCCCCTCCCCGAGGCGGCGGCGGGGCTTCCTCTCCGGCGGGGCGGGATCCCGGCTGCCGGGCGCGGCGGGGCTTTTGTTCCCGGCTGGCGGGCGGCGCGGGGGCGATCGGCGGCGCTGGAGCCTCGCGGCGGACCGAGGGCGGACGAGGTATTTGCGCGGGGCGGGCGGCGCGGGCATCTTGGGCGCCGGCAGAAGCAACTGCGCCCGCGTCCCCCCCGGGCAGCCCGCTCGGTCCTCGGCGGGTCCGGCCGCGGCGTCCCCGCCGGCTCTGCTCTTGACCGCGGCGACGCCGGCTTTTGTCCCCGGGCGACTTCGGGGCTGCCGGCCGGGACGCCCGCTGGTCTGCGCGGCTACCGGTCGGAGGTCGCCTCCCGACTCCCCCCCCCCGAAAGCTGTCGCGGGCTGTGGCGGAGGGGCCGGTGGGCAACTGGCGGGGGCGGTGCGGGCGTCGCGTTTGCCGAAGTTGGCGCCGCCAGTAAGCAGCCCGAAGGCTGAGAACGGGAGCCTTTTCGGGGGGGCCGCTCAGAGCCCCCCGCTCAGCATTCACTCGTCACTGCCTCTCCCGCAGCCACCGCCCCGGGGACTCGTGTGGGGGGGGCAGGAAATGTGAACCGCAACACCGTTCCCCCCCCCCGACTGGCTATGTTCCAGTGGGTCAGTGTGCAGAGAGGCTGGGGCGGAGTAGGGGGGGGGGAAGGCCTTTGGTGGTGGGCTCTGTTCAGCCGCATCGCTTCTGCTGCGGCTGTGTGAGTTGGCAGCCCCTTGCCAGGGTGGTCTGGTTCTCAGTTGTGTAATGTAATAGTTTGCTCCTTGTGGATTCACTTGATCCCAACATCCCCTCAAGGAAAAAGCGTGGAATATCATCTCATATACAGTAAGAAAAAAAGAATCTCCAGGAGGAGCTAAAAATCCTTTTTAAAAATCCTTGTCGTTGTGGAGAGAAGGGTGGCGTATAAATTTAATAAATAAATAAACATTATTTCCCCGTGCCTGCTGGGGCAGTCTGGGCCTTGAGGTCCACAGGCCTTAACGTTGCCAATCTTGGACACTCCCTGCTCTTAACGGCTGCGGCTAATTTTGAGGGGGGGAAACTCATTTATCCCTGGCTTAGGCACCACTAACCAGGTTTAAATTTCTTGTGCAGGGAATGACACCCCGGGCAAAGAGAAACCCCCTTCCCCACAGGGGTCAGCACAGGTTCATTAGCACAGATCAGCAATGCCAGTTTGCACACCCCTGTGCTGGGGCGGGGTTGCTGGGTGTCCTCTGGGTAGGGCGTCTCCCCACCACGCAGGCAGGCGAGAGAGGGAAAGAGAGAGGAAGACGTCTCTTAGGTCTGTCCTGCCCCGGGTGGCGTAAAAGACCTCGTCCCCCCTCAATGGGCAGATGCCCAGGCCTTACTGGCTCTCCTAAAGCTCTGACGGGGGGGGGGCTCTGTGTCCGTGGCACCACCACGTCCGTGCCAGTTGTGGCTTCCTTGGGTGCAGAAGCAGGAGATGGAGGGATCAGAGGTAGGAGGGGGTCGCTGGCCCCGAGGAGGGTCTGGCTTTTTGTATCTCCTGTGTAGAAGCAGCAACTGTGGCAGGCAGATGGAGGACGAAGGGGGTGTCTTCTCCCGAAGTCTGGCGCTGCAAAAGAGGGGGGGATCTCTTAACCCCTGAAATCTGGGCCACGGCTGGTCCCAGGGAGCTCAGACTGCGCTGGAGGCTTCCTGGGAAGGAGGCGGGGGGGGGCTTGTTCGGTCACGGGAAGCCCCGGCGCAGCTGGAAGAGAGCGAGCGAGCGGCCTTGAGTTGCCCTGGCCTCGCCCAGCCCAAGGCGGTTTCCATAGCGCCCACTTAGCCGAGCTGTCCCTCGTAATCATGAGGACTGGAAACCGAGGTTGAGGAGAGAAGCCATTGTTGGCCAGCTGTGTCACGCCCGACTCAGGTCCTTGCTGGAGCTCCTTGGATGAGAAACGGAACGTTTTGTTCCTCTTCCTGGAGGAAAAAACAGCCCAGCCGAGACGCCCCCGAGGAAGCCCAGGCTGAATGCGCCAGGCCTGAGCCAAGGCCGCCTTTCCCCGCCTGGCTGGCACCGGGGCAGCCCCGCCCGGCCCCCGGGGAGCTTGGCCTGGAGCTGGGAAAGGGGTGGGTGGGCTGGCTTCAGCAGCAGAGGAGACCCTCCCGCTCTCTTTCCAGCCGGAGACCACCCTTAGCGCCTCCCCCCCCCCCGCCGAGGTGAGTCTCTGCTTTGCGCTTTGAGGCGCCTTTAATCTCCCTGCGACAGGCAGCTGGGCGGCCGAGGGGGGCTGTTTTCGGCCAGTGTTTGCGTTTCCACAGGGACCCTGTCCAAGCAGGGCTGCAATAGCCCCCCCTCCCCGTTTCCTCTCCAGCCGCGTTTATTAATAGGTGTTCCTTTGTTTGGGGGCTGGCAGGTGGTGGCGGCGGTGACGGGAATCCCCACAGCCGCCCCTGGTGGGCGACGATAAGAAGGGGAGGAGGAGCAGGAGGGGGCAGAAGTGGGTGTGCTAGGAAACACCCTCGGGGGGGGGGTCTCCTTGGGGGTCTCCCCTGGCAAACTCCCATCTGGTAAATTTGCAAGATTCGTTTTTCTCCCCATGTACATGTCTATACCCGAACTAGACTGTGTTGTTTCTCTGTGTCATAGAATATATGTGCGCGTATGCAAAAAATTTTCGCCATATATCTGTAGTGTACATGGGAGGTGATGACCCTTTGAGAGCTGAATGCAATGAAATTTCATTTTAAAGTATTTCTATATTGCTATTTCTATTTTTTATATTTTTTTTCTATGAAAGGTTGATGGAATTGGGTATGTCTAGTTTAATGAAGAGAAAGATGAGGGGGGACAGGATAGCAGTGTTTCAGTATCTCAGGGGCTGCCCCAAAGAAGAGGGAGTCAAGCTATTCTCCAAAGCACCTGAAGGCAGGACAAGAAGCAACAGATGTAAAACTAACCAAGGAGAGAAGCAACCTAAAACTAAGGAGAAACTTCCAGACAGTTAGAACAATTAGCCAGTAGAACAACCTGCCTCCAAGAAGTGGTGAATGCTCCAACACTGGAAGTTTTTAAGAAGAAACTTGGACAGCCATTTGTCTGAAATGGTCTAGGGTTTCCTTGATGACCTCCAATGTCCCTTCCAACTTTATTATTACTATTGTTATTGTTATTGTTATTTCTATTTCCATTTCCATTCCATTAAGATTCAAAACTCTTTTGGCTTTCTGACTTTGAGCGATGGGCAACACGGGCCCCATCTGGGAATTGGGGCTGGGGTGGAGGGGTGTTGGGTACACCTCTGAGTCCCTTTGCGCCCCTGTGCTGCGTTCCTTGCTCAGGGGAAGCCAAAGGCCCCCCACGGAGGATGAAGGTCACCAGCCTTTGGACGGGGAAAAAGATTTAAAGCACCTGCCTTATGGGGAGCCTCAGTACGGGCCGTCCTCGGCTTAACAACCATTCGCTTAGGGACTCTGTGAAGTTACAACGGCGCTGAAAAAGAGAGACGTGCTTTTCACAGTTGCGACCCTGGCAGTCTCCTCAATGTCAGGTGATCAAAATTTGGAGGCTGGGCATCTGGCCTGGATTTATGACGGTCGTGGCGTCCCGGGGTCACGTGATTTCCCCCGTTTGTGACCTTCCCAGCCGGCGTCCGATAAGCAAAGCCAACAGGGGAAGCTGGATTCATTTAATGACTGCACGATTCATTTAATGGCTGCATGATTCCCTTAACAACCGTGGAGAGAAAAGAGGCAAACTGGGGCAAGACTCACTTAACAAATGTCTTGCTTAGCGGTAGAAATTTTGTGTTCGGCTGTGGCTGTGGGCCTAGGGCAGGGGTAGGCAACCTCGGGGTAGGGGTAGGCATAGCTGACTTAGGAATTCTGGGAATTGAAGTCCATGAGTCATAAAAGAACCGAGGTTGCCCACCCCTGGCCTAGAACTGTCTCTCTGCTTTTGTGGCTTTTCTCCTTCCTTTTGCCGATTCAATGAAAAAGGAAAGAAAGTGAAGGAGGCCACTAGTGCTTGACACACCCACAACACCCCCCCCCGAAAGTTATTTTGCATTTAAGACAGAGAGTCAGATCCAAAGGGTCTATTTTCAATGTATTTAAGGAATCCGTTCTTTTTCATGGTAACTTCTGGGGAACTCAGACATCCTTGCAAGTTATGCACCTTAATCCACAGGCAGGTGGGTGGATTTTATACAAAAAATCACTGAATCTCAAAATAACAAAATAATTAACAAAATTATTATTATTATTATTATAGAGTTGGAAGGGACCTTGGAGATCTTCTAGTGTTCCTGCAGGAGACCGTGTGGCATTCCAGACAAATTAATATAATAATAGATTCTTGATGTATTTTGCAAAGGTTTTGGATATAGTTCCCAGTGCCCCGATGACAATGGGTACCACTGTTATACATTTCATCCATAATTGTGCAGTTTCGATGGCCAGGTCGCGATATTTCGTCATTTTTTCCAGTTCTTTTTCTTCGACTCTGGCATCTCCTGCTACAGCGATATCAATCAGCTGTACGCTTCGGTTCTCTACTGTGATATCCGGTGTATTGTGTTCCAAATGGCGATCTGTCTGTATTCGAAAGTCCCACAAGATCTTCACCCTCTCATTCTCAACAACTTTTTCCACCCTATGTTCCCACGACTTTTCGGACACAGGCAAGTCGTATTTTTTACACAATGCCCAGTGGATTAGTTTAGCAACTCGGTCATGTATGGATTATTATTATTATTATTACTACTACTACTACTACTACTACTACTACTCCTATCAGGGCTTTTTTTCTTATAGAATGCCCAGAATGGAGTTCCGGCACCTTTTTTGGATGGAACCTTGTAGGGTAGGCAAAGTGGGTTGTATGACGTGTGTGAGTTCTGGCACCTTTTTTTTTTTTTTTTTAGAAAGAAAGCACTGATTATTATTATCATTAGTCAACCCTGAAAACAATTCAGCTGAAGCCAATTTCCCTTCGTTTTCAGTTGCCACAGAATTGGGAGGGGGGATGAGTGTTTTATCTTAGACATAACAATAGAGTGTTCTGTAGAAACCAAGGTCATTGCTAACTGCATTTTGGCAGGCTGTAGTTTCCATTAGAAAACCTGTGCAAGTAGTTAATTGGGGAGTGTGATTAATAACAATACTGGGGTGGGAAGTTTAATTCTGTAATTGTAACCTTTGGGTGGGGGGTGTTTCAGTTTTGGGTTTACTTTTGAACGTGCCGATATTATGTAGCTAAATATGTTCTCTAAGGAAATTCTTTTTGCTTTGGAGTTCTTTTTTTGAGTCTCATTTTTCGGAACCATTTATTATTATTATGGATCATCGCACAGTCAGCCAGATGTTCAGACTGGATTTGGCATTTTGTCTACCTATCGAGTCCTTACCAAGGACCTGGGATAGGCGGATGTGGATGTTTGATGGTATTACAGGTATCGTCGCAGGATGGAAGCAGTTCCTAGCAAGGCCGTCTTTTGCAATTGACTAATAGCGAATTTGTCAATGCCAATGGTGTTCAAGTGGTGCTCCAGTTGTTTTGGGATTGCACCCAAGGAGCCTATTACTATTGGTACTACCCTTGCTTGCTTTTGCCACAGTCTTTCTATTTCTATTTGTAGGTCTTTGTATTTTGTTATCTTCTCCAGTTCTTTCTCGTCTATTCTGCTGTCTCCAGGCACTGCCACGTCCACTATCCAGACTTTTTTGTCTTTCTTATCGACAATTGTTAAGTCTGGGGTGTTATGTTGCAGGTGCTTGTCTGTTTGAATTCTGAAGTCCCAGAGCAGTTTAATTTTATCATTTTCTATGACTTTCTCTATTTTATGATCCCACCAGTTTTTGCTTACAGGCAAATGATATTTTTTGCAGATCTTCCAATGCACCATTGTTGCTACTTTGTCATGCCGCTGCTTGTAGTCAGTCTGTGCAATCTTCTTGCAACAGCTTACCAGGTGGTCCACTGTTTCTTCAGCTTCTTTGCATAGGCGGCATTTACTGTCTGTTGCTGTCTTCTCAATTTTGACTTTATATGCATTTGTCCTTAAGGCTTGGTCTTGTGCAGCCAGAATTAGTCCCTCGGTCTCTTTCTTCAATTTTCCTGCTCTTAGGGGAGGGGAATAAAGCCCAAGCTCCATTTGGTGTTAAAATTCAAACTTTTCATGCAAGGAACGAAGTGTAGATTTATTATTATTATTATTATTATGGATCATCGCACAGTCAGCCAGATGTTCAGACTGGATTTGGCATTTTGTCTACCTATCGAGTCCTTACCCAGGACCTGGGATAGGCAGATGTGGATGTTTGATGGTATTACAGATATCGTCGCAGGATGGAAGCAGTTCCTAGTAAGGCCGCCTTTTGCAATTGACTAATAGCGAATTTGTCAATGCCAATGGTGTTCAAGTGGTGCTCCAGTTGTTTTGGGATTGCACCCAAGGAGCCTATGACTATTGGTACTACCCTTGCTTGCTTTTGCCACAGTCTTTCTATTTCTATTTGTAGGTCTTTGTATTTTGTTATCTTCTCCAGTTCTTTCTCGTCTATTCTGCTGTCTCCAGGCACTGCCACGTCCACTATCCAGACTTTTTTGTCTTTCTTATCGACAATTGTTAAGTCTGGGGTGTTATGTTGCAGGTGCTTGTCTGTTTGAATTCTGAAGTCCCAGAGCAGTTTAATTTTATCATTTTCCATGACTTTCTCTATTTTATGATCCCACCAGTTTTTGCTTACAGGCAAATGATATTTTTTGCAGGTCTTCCAATGCACCATTGTTGCTACTTTGTCATGCCGCTGCTTGTAATCAGTCTGTGCAATCTTCTTGCAATAGCTTACCAAGTGGTCTACTGTTTCTTCAGCTTCTTTGCATTATTATTATTATCGATCATCGCACAGTCAGCCAGATGTTCAGACTGGATTTGGCATTTTGTCTACCTATCGAGTCCTTACCCAGGACCTGGGATAGGCAGATGTGGATGTTTGATGGCATTACAGATATCGGCGCAGGATGGAAGCAGTTCCTAGTAAGGCTGCCTTTTGCAATTGACTAATAGTGAATTTGTCAATGCCAATGGTGTTCAAGTGGTGCTCCAGTTGTTTTGGGATTGCACCCAAGGCGCCTATGACTATTGGTACTACCCTTGCTTGCTTTTGCCACAGTCTTTCTATTTCTATTTGTAGGTCTTTGTATTCTGTTATCTTCT